GTAAGTGCGGCGCCGAGGGAGTGGTTGGCTCGTTTGTCTGTTATTTAGTTTGTTTGTGTGGTTTATTGTGTTGGTATGTTTGTATGGATTGCTTGTGACTTGTGACTGTTTGGGTTGTTTGTCTGTTGTTTAGTTTGTTTGTCTGTGTTTGTGTGGTTTGTTGTTTTCGTGTGTTTGTGTGGATTGTTTGTGACTTGTGATTTATTTTTCTAATTCGTTTGTCTTTATCTTTGCAACTGGTTTGCTTGGGTTGTTTGTCTGTTGCTTAGTTTGTTTGTCTGCGCATGTGTGGTTTGAGTTCGTCTGCTTGTGTGCATTGTTTGTGACTTCGATTTATTTTTCTAATTCGTTTGTCTTTATCTTTACAGCTGGTTTGTTTGTCTGATCTTGTTTGAATGATTTGTTTGTTTTTATACTATTTCTACTTTTTTCGTATTTTTGTAATTACAATTATCTGTCCATTTTCTTGATTTATTATTTTCTCCCCGTCATATTATTACCCATTTGATATCCCATGATAATTTCTTGAATGTATAAATCTACATTATTTTTTCGATCAGCTGTTGTTCTGTTTTATTCCTTTGAGGTTACTTTTCTGTTTTATTTCTTTTTATTTATCCACCTTTTTCATCTGATTATGCTTTTCAGTCTATCTATCTATTTATCAAACGCTTTTCGTATACGTTTGATTTTCTGTCTGTATATGTATTCATCTTTACACCAGTAAAAATATGTGAAAATATCTAAAATTGCGGAACACAAAAGAAGCAGGAAAACAAAAAGTCAAAAAAAGAAAAGAAAAAAAAGGAACGTAGAGCAGGTAGTAAAAAAGAGAGAAGTAAAAAAAAAAGTAAAAAAAAAAGAAAAGAAAAAGATAAAAAAGTAGAGAATGTGAAACATGACGCGAACAGTATTATAATATGTTCTTTCACTGAACAATTTCATCTTTGGGAAGTGGGTAACATCAGACTAGCATTAGCATTTTAAGAATATATATATTTTAGAAACACTTTTCAATATATATTTTAGAAACACTTTTTTCAACATATATTTTCAAAAAACTTTTCATCAACGTATATTTTAGAAACACTTTTTTCAACATATATTTTAGAAACACTTTTTTCAACCTATATTTTAGAAACACTTTTTTCAACATATATTTTAGAAACAATTTTTTCAACATATATTTTAGAAACACCTTTTTTCAACATATATTTTAGAAACAATTTTTTCAACATATATTTTAGAAACATTTTTTTAAACATATATTTTAGAAGCACTTTTTTCAACATATATTTTAGAAACACTTTTCTCAACATATTTTAGAAACACTTTTTTCAACATATATTTTAGAAACACTTTTTCAACATATATTTTAAAAACACTTTTTTTTTCAACATTTGTTTTAGAAACACTTTTTTAACATATATTTTAGAAACACCTTTTTTCAACACATATTTTAGAAACACTTTTTTCAACATATATTTTAGAAACACTTTTTCAAAATATATATTAGGAACATTTTTTGTACGAATATGAAATTAAATATAAACCTGAATGTAACGAAACACAACTGAAGTGAAAAAAAAACAAAAAACAAAAACAAATCGAGACGTTTCGAGACAAAACTAAGCTCCTTATCAGATCATAAAACTGAAATGCCGGAGATGATTGTGGTTTTATCTTCCTTTCAGATTCAGAACATAACGACTTGTTTTTAAATATTGTGTTTCATTTCATATTTGTTCATATGTTATTGTGTTCGTATTTTTAGCCAGAATATATACTTTTCACCGGAGTGATGTGAGCGAAAAGATATGATAAAGTGGATGGACAGAAACAGGGTCGAACAGTAACAGGAGAAACGTATCATAGTGACAGGGATATTAGGAGCGAAAATTAAAGTATAAGAAAGAGAGAAAGACGATGAAAAAAGTGAAAGAAGAGGAAATGAAAGACTCAAACACCAGAAACAATAACACTGCATACGGGCAGAGGGAAGGGGGAGGGAATAGGGGCAGATAGGGAAGCAACGAGAATAATTAGCATTGATGTGCAATTTGGCGTTCGCAGGTGCAACCAGGGGGCCCATGATGGTAGCTGTTGTTGTTGCACCGATGTTGCACAAATTCCAAGCTGTTGCGAATTGCCATGCTGTTGCACAATGGGGATTTCTATTTTTTCCTTCTTTTTTCGAAGTAGTAATTTTTTTTTTTTTTTTACCTAACGTGGCAATGGCGACCGCGGGGTTATAACTTTTAACTTGGAATCGTTTCGGGCGGGAACACGGAGCGAGCGGCGACCCATATTCCGAAACCGGTTCGGACTGTGAATGGATCTCGGATTTTGAAAAGGTTTATTTATTCATTTGTTTATTTATTACCGTTATTATTTCTTCAATTTTCACGAACTTTCTCTCTTTCGATTGCTCTCTCAGTCATCTTTCTTTCCCACTTTCTGTCTCTCCTCTGCAACTGCTACTACTACTGCTGCCACAGTA